GCCTAATTCCTCTCCATTTTACAGACCCTGTCCCAGGTGGCTTTTGAGAAAGCCGGTCCCATGATCCCCAGCATTTTTGTGGTGGCCAAATGGACCCTCCCCCCTTATGACAAGAGTCATTGGAAAAGGCAGTAATGCCAGGAAAAGTTGAAGGCAGCAGGAAAAGAGGAAGACCTAACATGAGATGGATTGACTCAGTCAAGGAAGCCACAAAGGCCCTCAGTTTGCAAGGACATTTGGAGGGCAAGGACATTTTGGAGGGCATTCCTTCATAGGGATGCCATTAGTCAAAAAAGACCTGCTGGCCCTTCACACACACACACACAAATAGAACCCTTCCTTTGTCTTTCACCAGCAAAAAAACTGGTTGGTTCCAATGCAGTAGAATTTCAGAACCCCACTGACCTTCAAGCTGAAAGGATCCATAGAAGTGTTGTCTTTTGCTAGTGAATCCAATAGCATATTTGTGTCTCAGGTTTTTTCCTGTACTAACCAATTCTCAATTTTTTTTTTGGCTGTTTACCAGGAATTTGGGAAGGGGATCAATAGTCTCCATTATACCCTGTCTGTGGTTTGAGCAGAATTTAGATGGCCATTGCAGTACACAGAATGGATTAGCTTTTGGTGATATAGTCACTGGAATTTTCAAACATATATTGATAATGTGGCACATGAAATCTGTTTTAGTGAGTGATAGCAACTGAATTTTAAACTCCAATCTTCACTCTTTTGGCTTTGCAAAATTAGATGATGTTTGCTTCCAACAACATATGAAAAAAGACAAATGTGAAATGTTAATTTAAGCACTGATTATACCATCTTCTTCTGCAGCTTAATGATATGCATAAATTAATTGCAATAGCAAAAAACTTCCGACTTCAAGGCTGAACGATGCATTAAGACTGCATTAAAGTGCGGTGAATGGAAGCTTTAATGACTTAAGCTTTTAACAATTCATTTTTAAAGGCACTGCTTCAGCTTCCATCATAATGCTAAAGCCTCTCTTAATAGCTAGGCATCATCTTAAACTCATTTTAGCATCTTCTTTATTGATCATGGAAATCTAAGATTCTTTTGAATTGCTTTTCCCACCCACCACTGCTCTCTTTCCATTTGTTAAAAACTGAATGTACATCCTAATCTATGGGCCTTTTTTGCTCATAGAAAAGCAGAAGAAATACAAAAAAAAAATCATATTGAGACTCTTCATTCCTGATATTGCCCCCTTCCTACCCATACCAGACAGTCAGGCACAAGCATGCTATTTTGAGGTGGGTGGGTGGTGAGGTTGCCAACTCCAGGTTGAGAAATTTTGGGAAGTTCAGTGGCAGAGCCCAAGAAAGGGGAGGGACTTCTGCAGGGCATGACGCACAGCAGCCCCTGTCTCCAGGGGAACTGATCTCTGTGGTCTGGAAATCAGCTATAATTCCAGTAGAAATCCAGGATCCACCTGGAGGCTGGGCAGGCGGCAGCCCTAGGAGGAGGATGGTAAGATTCATAAGCAAGGTTCAAAGATCTGCTTTTTTGAAATATTCAGAATACAATTGCAAAAACAAAACAGTATTTAAGAGCATCTGTCATGGTAGTTCCCCTACTTCAAGATAACCAGAGATGGGAGCACCCATGCCAGGGCTATTTTTGGGCAGGAACGCACAGGAACGGAGTTCCGGCTGGCTCCCGAGTTGGCCACGCCCATCAGGAACTCATTAGCATAATAGGCCACACCCAACAGCAGAAACTCATTAGGATTGGCTACATTAGGGGTGTGTGGCCTAACATGCAAAGAGTTCCTGCTACAAAAAAAAGCCCTGGGTTTTGACAACAAACAAGGTAAACAGAATAAGAAGCAAAAGGTGGGTGTGGCTGGATGACCACACTTCTGGTAATGTGGGGTGTGGCCTAATATGCTAATGAGCTGTCATCTCAGGGTGTGGCCTAATGTGCTAATGAGTTCGTGCTGTTGGGTGTGGCCTATTATGCTAATAAGTTCCTGCTGGGCTTTTTCTACAAAAAAAGCCCTGCCCATGACAAATAATTACACATAGTCTAAAATAAGGAAAAGGAAAGATGCACTCCCTAATCAGTATTCTAACATCAAACCCCCACAGTTCATCAAAGAAGTGCCAAGATGCTTCTGCCCTCAGAATCCTTCATTCCACAGCATGACCAATTTTACCTAAGGGGGTGGGGGACCAGAAAAGCTTGCCAATAATGTCCTTTCACATGCTGGGCTACAAGGAAATATATGTATGAGAGAAAAGGTATCAAGATTTTATTCCAAAACTTGCAATGGATGAAGAAGAGCAATGATTATCTGGAGAATCAGGAAACCTCAAGTTAGATTTAGCGTACACCTCGCACTGCCTTGAAAATGCATCCAGCAAAGATCTGTTTTGGAGAACTCAAGGGAGGAAGTTGCAGCCCCTCTCAACATGACGTCACAGCACAGCGTAAAACATGTTTGAATAGGGGACGATGAGATGAGCTGTAGTGTTACCTGCTGAATGGAGACATTTTATGACATTCGTTCATATGGTCATTGGTGGCCAATATATTAGTGAAGTAATATCCAGCTTACATGATCTACATTCCTCAATGGGGTGAAGCCCAGGAGTTATACTACTCCAGAAAACAAAAGGCACTCAGTACCTCCCAATCCCATTTTTAATCCAATTTCACTACTGTAACAACCAATGTGAATTTGGGGCCATAGCATAATGATTCAAAATACAAACATTATGAGTGACAACTGGATGAAAAAGAGTGGATAAACTAACTATTGATTTTCAGACCATGTATGCAAAGGCCCTTTGCCTTTGCAAGAGAACGAAGGCAAAGGGAAAGCTACAAAGGGAATGGAAAGCCATGCAGATGTCTAGGTGGATACTGCAATTGGCCCTACTGTCTATTTGTATCTCAATAAGCTTGTTCAAAATAAGTATCTTTGGCTGGAATGGAAGCCCAGTTCAGTGCCTGGATCCTCCTCCTTGTTTGCTGGGTTCAGGAAACTGTGTTCATGTTCTCAATCGGCCATGTTCAGAACAGGCCAAAAGCTTTTACAACCAGTGTGAAGGGGCAGATGTGCCCTGACCTGCATAGCCCAGGCTAACATGATCTCATCAGATCTTGGAAGCGAAGCAGGGTCAGACCTGGTCAGTATTTGGATGGGAGACCACCAAGAAAGTCCACAGTTGCTACACAGAGGCAGGCCATGGCAAACCACCTCTGAATGTCTCTTGCCTTGAACATCCCACAGAGTCATAAGAACATAAGAGATGCCAATGTTGGATCAGGCCAAAGGCCCATCCAGTCCAACACTCTGTGTCACACAGTGGCCAGAAATACCAGTGCCATCAGGAGGTCCACCAGTGGGGCCAGGACATTAGAAGCCCCCCAAGCACCAAGAAGACAGAGCATCCCTTGCCCCAGAGTCCCTATCTATACCTTGTGGCTATTAGCCACTGATGGACCTCTGCTCCATATGCTTATCTAATTCCCTCTTGAAGCCGTCCATGCTTGTAGCCGCCACCACTTCCTGTGGCAGTGAATTCCATGTGTTAATCACTCTTTAGGTGAAGAAGGACTTCCTTTTATCCGTTCTAACCCGACCGCTCAGCAATTTCATTGAGTGCCCACAAGTTCTTGTATTGTGAGAAAGGGAGAAAAGTACCTCTTTCTCTACCTGCTCTTTCCCATGCATAATCTTATAAACCTCAATCATGTCACCCCTAAGTCGTCGTTTCTCCAAGCGAAAGAGCCCTAAGCGCCTTAACCTTTCCTCATAGGGAAAGTGTTCCAACCCTTTTATCATTCGAGTTGCTCTTTTCTGCACTTTTTCCAAAGCTATAATATCCTTTTTAAGGTGCGGTGACCAGAATTGCACACAGTATTCCAGATGAGGTCGCACCATTGATTTATATAGGGGCATTATGATATTGGCTGATCTGTTTTCAATAGCTGTAAGCCAGCTCTGACTCGATGGCAAAACAAAGCACACACCAAAAGAGGAACAGGAGACTCTCTGATCTGGATTTGAGAACACTTTTGCTTAATCTATGGTGTGTCATGTGACACATGCATAAACGATGTGTTGCCCCCTTACATATATCTTCTGGGATTAAACCCAAAATTTATCTTAAAGAATTCACCATGAAGGGGAGATCCTTTATGAGCAAGCAGAGCTGGTAAGCATCGCTGCTCCAGGATTCTCTAGCTTAGAGCCCTGGCACAGTACAGGATCCAGTTACACGGCTGCACACTGGCACACACAAGTTGATGTTCTGCTGCCAAAGCACAGGTGTGCTCTCATTTTAGGGACATGAAAGAGATCACATGGAGTTCACCTAAGTATATCAAATTCTTCAGGCATAGTTTGCAATGGTCAGAACAAACCTCGGATGGTTTTGGGCTCACGCACACCTAATGAGATACCTCCCACAGCAGCCCCTAATTCCTGCCACCACTTGCTAGAGCAGCGGGGGGGGGGTTGTTGGGGAAATTGGTGTTGCCAGGACACCATGTCTCCATATCCCTGCCCACCCATCCCTCGCTGGATGCCAACCACAAGCTGGCAACCCTGCCCACCCCCTACATCATTATACCTGAACCACAAGCTATGATTTCCCCTCGCCTGTATATCAGGATTCCAAACCATCTTAGTTTGGAGGCAAGGAACAAACCATGATTTGATGTAAACTACGAGGGTCATCAGTAACGGAGCCATGAGCAGTTGTGGGGGGAGGGGAGGAGAGTCCAGAAGCCTAAGAACTCCCAAGGTTCATTCTCCTAATTTTTAAAAAAGCCTGTGGTTTACTGTTACACTTGAATGCAGGCCAAGAGCCATAATTCCCATCTAAAACAGGATGTCAGAGCATAAAAAGATCTTGAAAATGACTGCTGGGGGAAAGCAATCAGCAGAATTTGAAGGCATTTGTGACTCCAGAGCAGAATAAACATTGCAGCGACTGATAAAATACTACTTTCAGTCTTGCACCACTAACCTTGTGACTTGGGTCCTGGTGCCAAAGTCCAGAGATCTCATTGACTGCAGCACTTCAATACAGCCCATATACTAGAATAAACATAAGGGGGTGGGGGAGAGAAATCATAGCTGTTTAAAAATGGTCTAGAACAAATAAAGAGAGACTGTCCAATCAGAATATATGTTTACATAAAAGACCGCCTAATTTATTACTTATTTATTTAGACATAAACCCCACTTCTTTCCCCAGTGAGGAACCAAAGTGTCCTACAACATCATTTCCCCCTCCTGCATTTATCCTAACAACCACCCTGTGAGGTAGGTTTGGCTGAGCGGGTGTGACCGGCCCAACATCATCCAGCAAGCTTCCATGGCAGAGTGAGGATTTGAACCTGGGTCTCTCAAATCCCAACCTGGCATTCTAACCGCTATGTTCCACACTGGCTCAGAGTGGACCCTCACGAATATCATGGGGTCAAAGAATAACCACTGCTGAAATACATACAAGCACATACTAAAAATCCCCTGATTGAGAAGGTGTCTGGGATGCTGAAAACGTTCCAAAATTGTAGTATTAATCTATTTGGGGGGGAAATCCCAAATATTTTATTCAGACCAATTCCTTTACTGCTTTCAACTTTTCATCTATTGTCTGTTTGTTTTTAGTGATTTTACATTCTAGTCGTACTTTATTGTTAACTGAAAATTCTTTGGGATTTTTAAAAAACCGAGAGTGTGGTATACAAATATTTTAAAAATATTTTCTTTTAGAATAAGTGGGCACTGTGTACAGCAGTGAGCTATGTGGATGGATGCAGTGTGCTGCAGACAGCGATCCTTGGTGTGAAAATAGGCACACGCTACAAGTTCAAAAGGAGGGCTCTATGCTTGCTTGTAAAATGCTGGGTGATGTGTGTGCTTTCTTCATTACTAGAGATGGCACTGGACTGGTGTAAGCTTGAGCTTCTAATCCCTGTGGATAAGCCTGCTCAACATGACAAATACCTCCTTGATAGACCTTGAGTGAAAAAGGACAGAAAGGCTGAAAGTGGCCCTACCATTTCCCAGCCCAGAGTTGGCAACCCCAAGGGAGAAGCAGACAGGCTTTGGTTTTGAACTGGCCCAATCCCCTGGAGGGATTGTTACCCTGTGTGGTCCTGGACACACGTTAGCAGACAGGCCTCCTCAGCAAAGTTGAAAGAGTCACACAAGCCAAGCCAAGGAGAGGAGAGACAAGGGCAGGCAAGATTTCTCCAAGATGGCAGGACTAGTGGGGTGGTCAAGGGCCAAAATGGAAAGAGGACAGAGCTAAAAAATGGAGGCAGAAGACTCATGGCAACAGGATGTGGTGTACTGATGAAGAGTGTTAGACTAGCATCTGGGAGATCCCGGTTTGAATCCCCACTTGTGCCATAGAAGATGGCTGATTGGGATAGAGAAGGCAGAGACAGAGAAAGGATAGAGAAGGTTGAGAAAGAAATACTTTTCTCCCTTTCTCACAATACAAGAACTCATGGACACTCAGCAAAATGAATGGACAGTACGTTTAGAACAGATAAAAGGAAGGACTTCTTCACCCAAAGAGTAATTAATACATGGAATTCACTGCTACAGGTGGTGGTCATGGCTACAAGTATAGAAAGTTTCAAGAGGGGATTAGGTAAACATATGGAGCAGAGGTCCATCGGTGGCTATCAGCTGCAAGGTATAGATAGATATGCAGACGATACCACTCTAATGGCAGAAAGTGAAGAGGACCTCAAGAACCTCTTGCTCAGGATAAAAGAGGAGAGCGCAAAAGTGGGCTTGAAGCTCAACATCAAAAAAACTAAGATCATGGCATCCGGCCCCATCACTCCTTGGTAAATAGAAGGGGAAGTCGTGGAAGTAGTGACAGACTTCACGTTCCTGGGATCCCAGATCACCCCAGACTGTGACAGCAGCCTGCTCCTTGGGAGGAAAGCGATGGCGAACCTAAACAGCATGATAAAAAGTAGAGACATCACCCTGCCAACAAAAGTCCGCATGGTCAAAGCAATGGTATTCCCAGTAGTTATGTATGGCTGTGAGAGTTGGACTATAAGGAAGGCCGAGCGCCGAAGAATAGATTCTTTTGAACTATGGTGCTGGAGAAGACTCTTGAGAGTCCCTTGGACTGTAAGAAGATCAAATCAGTCAATCCTAAAAGAAATCAACCCAGACTGTTCCCTGGAAGGCCAGATCCTGAAGTTGAAGCTCAAATACTTTGGCCACCCAATGAGAAGGGAGCACTCCCTGGAGAAGACCCTGATTCTGTGAAAGATTGAAGTTCAAAGAAGATGGGGATGGCAAAGGATGAGATGGTTAGACAGTGTCATAGATGCAACGAACATGAAGTTGAGCCAACGTCAGAGGACGGCGGAAGACAGGAGGGCCTGGCGTGTTCTGGTCCATGGGGTCGCAAAGAGTCAGACTCGACTGTGCGACTGTGCGACTGAACAACAACAAATAGATGGAACAGGGCTGCAGTGGCTCAAGTGATTAAGACACTGAACAGCAGACTGGAAGGTTGGTACTTCAGCAGTTTGAGACCCGAGTGCAGCATGATGAAGTGACCTCCCGTCTCTGGCCCCAGCTCCTGCCAGCCTAGCAGTTCGAAAGCAAGACATTGCAAGTAGATAAATAGGTACCACTTTGGTGGGAAGGTAACAGCATTCCATGTGCCTCGGCGTCTAGTCATGTCTGCCACATGATCACAGAAATTTCTTTGGATAGTGCTGGCTCTTCGGCTTGGAAACGGAGATGAGCACTGCATCCCTAGAGTCGGATTCGACTGGCTTTCGATCAGGGGAAACCTTTACCTTTACCTATAGATGGAACACTATGTCTGTGGCAGTGATGCTCTGTTTTCTTATGCTTGGGGGAGCAACAGTGGGAGGGCTTCTGGAGTTCTGGCCCCACTGGTGGACCTCCTGATGGGTTTTGGTCACTGTGGGACACAGAGTGTTGGACTGGATCCAACATGGCTTCTCTTAGGTTCTTATGACCTTGGGCCAGTCACACTGTCTCAGCCTAACCTGCCTTACAGGGTTGTTGAGAGGATAAAATAGAGGAGAGGAGAACAACATAAGTCACTTTGGGACCCCATTTGGGAGAAAGGTGGTGTACAAATGAATTACATTCAATTAAATCAATTAACATCTGATGGGGGAGCAGGTCTGCTGTCCCATAGGAGTGCCTCTTTGCCTCCAGCTGTGCTGTACTTGTATATTTGTCAATGAAGCACACTTAGGGCTGCCAGCCCAGTGCTGACGAACACTGGGACACAGAAGGTGGAGTTATGATGAACAGCATTGCACCAACATCACAATGTCACTTCCAGTGAGCACTCGGAAGTGAAGTCACTGCATCAGAACAATGCTTTAGGATTCACCCAAAACTCTATGGTAAAAACATAGTTTTGGGTGAATCCTAGGCCACTGTATTGACGTGGTATCACTTCCAGATTGGTGTTGGTGTGACACCTAGGGTTGAGAAATACATGGAGATTTTGGGGGTGGAGGGGTTTGGGAAGGACCTCAGTGAGATATAGTTCCACAGAATCCACCCTCCAAAGTAGCCATTTTTTTAATTTATATATTCCTGTTGCTGCTCTACGAAGCAGCAGTGGGAACAGTGAAGCCGGGGATGGGAAGTCTCTTACTGTAGAGTAGCTATAGTGGGAGATCTGGCTGCCGCAATCAAACTCTACAATGATGCCCTAAGTCTCCAGAACTCTCCTCTAAAGAGAAGCAGTCCAGGTCAATGATCCCTCTAAGCTCTGGAGTCTTGTGAGCAAAAATTCTACTCTATGAGCTAGTGGCATTAAAGTTGTAAGCAGGTTATTTGGCTGCTGCATAAATTACTTTGCTCTGGAGCCATCCTTCCTGAGCTAAGACAAAAATGTGTGAGCCAGGGGCTAAAAAACTGTGCATTAACTCACACTAACTCAGCTTAGAGGGAACACTGGTCCAGGTTAGCACTGCCTCTCTGCTCACTTCTCAGAGAACTATGTAATCTCCCTTATATATAAAAGCCAAATGGTGGTGGCACTTCTCTAGAACATTGCACACGCTCTGGAATTGGTTGGCGCCCTGGTGTGTCACTCAGAATCTGTCCCTATCCACTGGCTGCATTGCTTGAGTCTCGCCTCCAACATTCTAAACCATTTGCTGTTCCTCCCCCTCCCCATAGCCAGTCAGAACACAGAGGTTATTTGCATATGCAGCCTCATTGGCCTTTGCCTCAGAACACAGAGGTTGTTTGCATATGTGACTTGATTGGCTTTTGCCTCTAACATTCTAAACCGTTTGCTGTTCTGAGGTAAAATGTGTCCAATTTCCAGGTGAGGGCTGGAGATCACTCAGAATTACAACTGCTTTCCAAATGGCAGAGATCAGTTCCCCTGGAGAAAATGGTGGGCTCTGTATCCTTATATGCTGCTGAGGTGGCCCCCATATGACAGCCAATGTGACGTAGCAGTCAGGGCTTCAGAGCATGGGAGAGGCTGCAGGTGTTTGGGGGGTGGAAAGCTGAAGAGTGAGGGGAAAATAAAGGTGGGTTAATGATTGGCTGGGAAGGAGGTAGGGTTGCCAACTCCAGGTGGGAAATTCCTGGAGATGTGAGGGATGGAGCCTGGAGAGGGTGAGATTTCAGGAGGCGTGGGACCTCGGACAGGTACAAAGCCATAGACTCCACCCTCCAAACCAACCATTCCCTTCTGGGGAACCTTTGTTGCCAATCTCCAGGTGAGGGCTGGAGAGCCCTCAAAATTACAACTGTTCTTTAGGTAGCAGAGATCAGTTCCTCTGGAGAAAATGGTGGACTCAGTGTCATTATACCCTGCTGAGGTCGCCACAGCAAATTGACACTGAGTGTCCAAGGCTGGAGCACCCACCCAGAGCCTCTTTCTAGAGGCTGTTGTATTTATTTCCACAACGGGCTTTTTTCCTAGTAGTATTATATGTGACAAGCAAACAAAGTTTCGGAATCCATAACGACTGCTGTTGCTGCTGATTACAAACTATTTGCAACCACAAGGCCCTGAAAAATATACTGAAGACACAACTTGC